CATTTAGCCCAGTATGATTTTTCTTTCTGGCTACGCCCCTGTTTGAGTACTTTCTCCACAGTTGTTTAGACAGAAGAGCCTCAATGAAGGAGACCAAGCACTTAAACCCCAATCCACTGTGTAGTAGAATGAATGACTTTGATTTTTTTATTTTTATTTTTATTTTTTCCAACAAATTACTTATTGACACAATAGGTACATGTACATGGTTAGCGGTTGTAAAAGATCCAATATATAAGATTCCTATAATTCCATGGCATAACCAACATATAAGATATGAGATATTACAAAATTATACATGTTAAGCTTCTTGGATTAAGTTACTTGGCTGTTTGACTATTCTAGCTGTTTTTAACAGTAATTATGTGGTTTCATTTATATAAGTACTTCATTAAAAAAAAAAAAAAAACATATAATAGTTACTGTAATAACCAATGTAGTACATAATAATGAAATAGGCTTTATATTGCACCTCATTATAACATACAATGAAATATAGTCATACAATAAGTCTTTTTATTTAGTAATTCACAATCATTTTTTACACGCAATTCCAAATATAAATCTACATGTTCTGCACATGAACCTCATTCGCTCGAACAAAATAAAAGTTAATAAAGATTGACATTTGGATAAGGTTATAAAAGGTTGGGGACCCCATTCATCACTTTGGCCAAAACACATCCATACAATACAAACTACAAAGCCAAAGTGACCATCCAACTATAAAGTTCAACACTACTTTGTAATGAAAACAATTTTGACCATTCAAAGCCAACAACAAAAAAGCTCAATAAAATACAGCAACTGAGCAGCAGATAGAGAGAGAGAGAGGATCATAGCACAATACTCAAACTGAACTTTATTTGTAAAACATCTATATAACAACAAACCCAACCTAACACATCACAGGTGAGGGGGATTGACTATGCAGTGAATCCCCTAACTTGATTATTACAAGCCCAAGTCCATTGTTCAACCTCTTACACAAACTTCACACTAACAATAACCAAACATTAAACTTACTTTAAAACCTTCAAACCTTGTGAGAGCCAACATGATATCAACTGAGTGAAATATTGCCACTCCCTCTTCTCATTAACCACTAAGCAGATGACAAAATCACTCCCTCCAAAAACATGAATACCAGTTAGTACCAAATCATCGTGTCCTGTTTCGACACGTTATCATTCTTGATCCCTGCAAACCCGTCCGTGAAGTCAAGGGAGGACATATTGAACGGCGAACCATACATCATTGGGAAATTATCCGCCGTGGTGGTGGTAAATGGTGGATTCATGGCCTTGCAATTCTCAAACCTACCACCACCACCACTCCCCGGTCTGAACATCGAAGCATTATTGGGCGAGTTATTATTGTCCTTGAATATATGATTACCCTCGAAAACCAATCCTCGGCCGTTAATATACCCGTCCTGCTGCTGGCACACAACATTGAGTTGACTAAGAGACTGCTCGTTTACGACCGACCTGTTTCTGTTTGATTGAGAATTTCCCTCGTACATGGACATAAGCTCGGTTATCATCCTCTGACCGTCCTCAGGAACCTCAACTCCCGACAGACTGGCCGGCTGCAGCTGCGGTGGGGCTGATTTTGGCATGACAGGACACTGAGGGAACACAATCGGCTTGATCTCGTCAATGTTGAAGTTCGTGGGCCCAAACTCGGCTGCCGGGCCACATGGGCACGAGAGTTGATGGTTGTCCCTTGAGGCCCGGTCGTGAAAGCCGTGACGGACATCCCCATGAGGGCAGCGGCGGTACCCACATGTGTACACTCCGTGCTCGGCCGCCTCACTCATTTGCTCGGGGCCTGATTTTCTTTTCCTCGAGAAGTCTAAGCTGTTGCTGCTGACAACCTCATCATTGATGACGTGGGCCTGCTGCTGCTGCTGTTGGGCCGAGATGCCGTCCAGCCCGACACTGAAGATGGCCATCGGGCAAGGCTTCTGCTCGATGACTTCAACGTCATACTCGCTGTTGTCGTTGATAAAGGAATCGTTGGCGGACGAGGGCGGGACCCGGTCTGGGTAGAGCTCACGAGCAAGCTTCTCCTCGTGATTGATGATGGCGAGCCAGGTGGTGCTCTCCTTGGCGGTCATCTTGTCCTGGAGGCACTTGGACTGCCGCACAAGCTTGCGGATCTTGGCGATGTCGGGCGACATGTGCTTGATGACGGCCGTCAGAACCCCAACCTTGTATGCCTTCTTCAGGTCGTGCGGCTTCTTGTAAGGGGGCGGGCCTCCTTGATCCCCAGGCAGGCCCAACTGAGCCCACCACTCCTCGCGGCCCGTGGGCCACCACGGGGGCGGGACCCCCTTCTCGAGCGGGAACCTTCTCTGTGGGGGGTCGCAGTGCTGCATGAGGGCCGAGAGGAGTGAGCCAAGAGTCGTGTCCTGGAGCTCCTGCAGTGTGTGGGGAGTAGGGCCCACGGGCCCAGAAGACTCATCCCGGGTCCCCAGCCCATTCTCGGAAAGGTAACGGGCGATGGCGGCGGGCCCATTGCGGTCAAAGCGGACCCGGTCCTTCCACCACTCTCGCAGGTTGTCGGAGGCTCCGCTCACCGGCTTACCCTTCTCAGGGATGATTCCATACACAAAACCCTGGGCCTTGCAAACCTCCATCATCTTGAGCATGTACTTGAGGATCCCGTCCTGGGCCCGCGACATCTTCTTCCTCCGGGCCTGCTCCTGGGACTGCCGCTGACGGGCTGCATCCGAGCCCTCCTTCCCCCCTTTACTCATCTCCTTGAGTCGCTTAAGCCGCATCTTGTCACGCCACATCCTCCGCTCCAGCTCATCAACATCAATCTCGTCGTCTGTGAAGTCGTCCTCTGCAGTGGGCTCGGACCCGGGTGGGTCCATGGGCTCGGGCTCGGGCTCGGGCTCCTTGATGGGGGCTGAGGAGAAAAAGTCAAAATCTGTGCAGAAGCCCATGTCTTCAAACATCATCATCTTGTATGAGGCGGTCACCTAACGTAAGACGACAGACAAAAAAAGTCTGACGGGATTTGTTGCGGAATTTATGCGATTTAGGTAAATAAGATTTCAATACTTTATCCACCGGATTTGGCAGCATATGCCGGGCGGTGCGGTTGCTTTTTGACCTGCAAAGATGGAAGAATCAATCTCAATCAATAATAAAAATCTAAAACTACCTGTTCAGGGAAAAGGTAGAGCTTCATTCTATAAACTATTAGATCAAACAAGTTTTCCTAGGAAAAAAATTAACAAGGATTACAAGATTTCTTCAGATGCTTTTAAATAAAGCCAACAAAATTTTTGGGAAATAACATATCACATGAAGCACATCCCTGCAAATGAACAAAAATAAATTACCTTAAGGTTTTTACATCCTGATAGGCACAGTAATAAGGGCTATGATCAGAAAACAACCCAGATCTGAACAGATCAGATGTAAAGTCAAACAGTCTAAAATAGATAGAGAAACCATAGAAATCACCATTTTTTTACACAAAAACCCAATTTACTAATCTAAGAAACCACAGATTCTGTTCTAATAAATAGAGAGTAACCATACAAATCACCATGACATTTAAATACTCTGATAACACTAAATCAGCTGCTACCACATGGATCTATCTTCTGTTCTTGAGATTTACAGTCAATCTCCAGATTTTTCATATTTTCTTCTCTCTAATAGTAAAAAACAAAACACAAGTATTATACAGCAAAGGTCAAATTTCTATAACCAAATAACAACAAACTGAGCACCATAATCAAGAAGAAAAAATCATATAAATAACCCAAAAGCAAGAGCAAGAAAAATCAAGCCACAGATGAACCTAAAACGTCAAAGACTCCAACTTTAACCCCAAAGAAAAAAAAAAA